TCTAGTGTGGTTGCAATGCCCCTTGATGAACTAACCACTCCGACTTCCATCGTCACCATGCACAGCATATCGAATGGTTGATAGGTTTAGGAAGAACCTGCTTCCTTCATCTTTGTAAACAAAGAAACGGCTTTCGGAAAATTCTTCAGCTTCCCAGCAAGCTCAATTACAGTACTGTAGATCACAAGGTCAGGTCGGACACCGTTCTCCTCCATCCTCTGCAACCACATCACGGCAGATTCAAATTTCCCGGCCTTGCCAAACGCACTTATGAGAGAAGAGTACGTATACTTGTCTGGAACAACTCCTTTCTCCGTCATCTCGCTCACCAGACCTTCTCCTAACGTCCACCTCCGCGCTTTAAGCACATTTCTTATCACAATGTTGTAGCCAAAAGTGGAGGGTTTGTAGCCACCGTCTTCCAACATCCAATCGAGAAGGGCCAGAGAGCGTTGCCAGTCACGTTCCTGCTTTAACAAGCTCATCATCAATCTTTGAGAAAGCTTCCCCTTCCACTGAGCCATAATAGCTTTCATTTCTTCTTCGGTACTAGATTCTTTCAATGACTCCAAAATTGCGTCCAGGTCAATACTATGATCCATATACTTAACTACATTTTCACGCCCCTCAATACCGTCCAGAAACAGGTTTCCTCTGAAACCTCTCACACTCGACGGTTTCTTCGACTTGGTTTGCAAAGTGGTAGGAACAGCAGACACATTCGACTTGAATCCAGTCAAGTCGTCAACCTTTGGAACATAATTCCTGTAATCCCTTTCATTTGCACCCGCTCGGAATTCATCATTGCCGGTTGCATGACTGAACTGAAACCGAGCAGTTACCTTGGACAATTCCGTTCGCGGCACTTCACCAGCTCTACATTGAGAACTGCCATACTTTCTGACCGATGAACTCCAAATCTCTTTATTTAACAAACCGAATTGCATTCTGACAAGCGTTTCCACACTCGTCATCCCTGCACGTAATGAACTACACTTCCAATGCCGGATACGAGCCACTTAGGCTCAAGAAAAGATGAGCATTAGTTTCGAACACGAGAAACCACAGCAAAGGTGGTTCTCAAATTCGATCTCATCATGCAATTCAGGAAAAAAATAAAATAAAACTCAAACCAAGAGAGTATTCATCAAGAAACCCTAACCATGACTTCGCATGCTACGTCAAGAGACTTTATGTGCAACGAGTGATGACACAGAGGCCGACGCCTCGCGCATTCGCTTAGGTCGGTGGCTTCCCACGATTTCGACGCCGAGAGCACAGAAATACCAGCTCTCGCAACTAAAACCCCGCTGCCTGCTCAAGCTACGGCAATTGTCTACGCTGAAAAATTCCGAGCCGGCCCGCAATTAAGACCTCAAAAAGTCGATTCTAAAGGAAGGAAGACGATGCAGTGGAGCTCAATCGGGTAGCGAGTTCAGTTCCTCCGAGGAATTGGCTGCGATCAGTGTGGCACAGAGAGCAAAAGGCCTCGAGCTCGGCATCAACACATTTCCTCCGAGCTCCAAACTAGAGCATCGCGGGAGGCCTCCACACAGTCTCCGTGGTCAGGGTGAAAACACTTCATACATCCTATCCAACGAATACTGTACATCCCAAACGAACACTCGATGGATGAACGCGGATGAGCGATTCTTAGTATGGTGGCCAAGTCCAACCATTGGAACGCTAAAAACGAGTTTGAAACAAATGATTTTCTTACGATTGTGATATGCCTCCGTTTACTTTTTATAATTTTTATACTTTTTTAAATATCTTTAATGTAAAAAATATTAGTTTTATTTTTGGATTATAACTACTAATCTATTTTGTGAATATTTAACTACTCATCAAATTTGTATTTTTTGTTTAATTTTATATATATAGATATATAATGGTTTAATAAGAAAATGTGTTTTCTTTATATATTTTTATATTTTCAAATTTAGAATCGAATTTTTTCGTATTATTTTATGATATTGTTAAAATAAGTTAATGTTGATTTGTACATACAGGTGAGATTTATACAAAATGGCTCAACCAATTTGGTGCATTTAAGTTTTCAGTTTAATTTCAATAGCTTTTTTAAAAATAAGAATGTAATTTATTCTGCTACAAAATATTGGATTTTATTGAAATTAAGTTATGCATACTTATATATTGAAATTACAAAATATAAACTGTAACCATCTGTTTTAGAAATTGATGATGCAATGACATGAATGTACACATGACATCACATTTTGCAAGTTTGTATTGTTGTTTTGATCATTTGTAAACGATTTTATGTGTAACATTTCCATCTCTCACAATCAAATAGTGCTTTGTTTAAAATATTTCATTCCTGAACTAAATGATGTATCTTTCTTATCTTCTGTTGGTTAAAGTTTCAAACTATTCTTGTTAGAGATAAAGTCTCATATATATCTAACATAGATCTTATTTATTGTCTATGCCATTTACTTTATATTAAAATTTTCCAAGAAAAACTTGCACATATGTACGTACATACATACACACACATACGTACATATACACTAATATATATTACTCATTTACCATGAACATTTTAAAGAATGATTTGATTTCTTCAAAAAGTATATTGTGCTTCCGATTTTTGTTTACATACACACACACATGTACACAATCCATTTAAATTTGTGACTCTGACTTACATTATCAATTGAAGTTTCATGCACTGATAACATAGATTCGAATGTACCAGACAGTAGTCAATTCACAGTTGTATCAACTTACGAGGTTATTTTGGAGCCTAATACGAGAGGTTCTTTGTGTTAATTGAATTCTATTAATTAGACGATTTGTTTCGTTATGTGCAGTAATAAGTTCACAACATTGGGCGTAAGCCTCGTGAAACAAGAATTTAAGAATTGTGCACATTTTAAGAGAATAAACCTCTTAAATGTTTGACAAAATCAAGGAAGAACATATACAAATTTTGTTTCCACAAACCTGTGTTTAATAGCAATAATTTTTTGACATAAGAACATATGTGTTTTAAACTTGTACACTATCAAAAACACATTATAATATTCATCATAAGGAATGAAGTGTTATTTAATTCAAACTGTTATATTTGGCATGGAATTTTATGAAACGAAAATTCATAAGACAATAATATTGTTGATAATCAGAATACATCGAAAATACATCAGACAACATCAAAATGTAAACAGAAATAGTATTCTTAGTAAAACATATTATTGTAATAATGTACAAAATGTAACAATCAGTAAGATCAAATATCGATGCAATTACCTGATGAATTATCAAAGCTTGGTTCATAGATTTTCAAACAGCGATACTAGGAATATATTTGAATAATCTATACATTGGTGGACCACATGTGCAGAACATGTACAGCCATGACATAGGATGCAATTTGGGAATATCAAAATCGGTACTTCGTAAAAAGAAGCATCACACTAAGTGAAAGTATGAGCAAGAGCTTAAGTAACAGGGATGGGTTCGTCACCTTTTGCAGAAGGTGACTTTGAGGAGCGATTAAACATGCTTGGCTCTCCAACTTTTGAACAGGGTCCAAAATGAAAGGCAACCGTGTCCGTCGCTCAATATCAGATCAATCCTTAGCCCGATGGTTTCGAAGAATCAACAGGCAACTCCATTTTTGCATAATCACATATCATAACCTTTTAAGGTTAACCATTTCTTGAACCACCTTCAACCATGCGTGGAAGTGATAGTTTCAAGGTCTTTCACCTGTTCTTTCCACGTTGGTCTTCATTCTCCTTAACTAAGGCCTATTTTTTAAGGAACTTAAAGAAATTCCGCAAATCAAACATATCTGACAATTTCTAATCAGCCGGGGAACTACCAACATGTCAACGTAGGCTATAAGTTAAACATCATTTGGAAAGAACATGTACTGAATAACTTGTGTCATTTTGGTACTTGCTTCTCACTTGGTCTCACTTCTCAAAGAGCCCCTTCCATCGAACATACACTAATATACCCACAAAAAGACTACAAGAAACGAAGAAGGCGCTGGCTAGGAATGGTGCAAACCATTTAGGGTTATGATATGGTGGTACAGGAACATTCATGCTCAAGGATCCAATACAGCCTGTAGCAGTTGCAATAGCCAAAGCCAATGCTCCCAGGGTAATCTGAAACTGAAAGAGCTGGTTCCGTTGATGATCAAGACGTACGTTAACATAGTCTTCTGTGTCGTCAATGTACTCACGTACCTAGAATTGGCAACCAAAAATACGCGAGGGATGTTAGTGATATTTGAAACACCAACTAGCACAACACATGGACTGATCTTTATGGCGCAATTGCCTAATTACATGACCAAAAGTATAATAAGGCATTTCGATTCTAAATTGGTGCCATCCATTCGCATTTGATTAAATATTGGTGGAGACTAGTGTAGAACTCAAAAAGATTGAATATTAAGTCCGAAAAATAAAATTAAAAATAAAAATTCAAGACCATTTTAATACAGATCAGTTCCCTGGTTGTCCAAAAGATCTGTAGTCTGGAGTTGCATTTCAGAAACTTACCAGCGAGAGCTTGTTAAGACTAGCATCCACCTGCATTAAGTAGGCTTCTAACAGCATTTCTAACTCTTCAACATCGTAGGCTGGACTCGTGCTCTGTGTGGCTGAGCTGCGACGGCTGGTATGACCATGACTTCTTATTGAAGACAATCGTGCCAATTTGCGTGATGCTGCGGAGCTCGCGGTGACCCCACTGTCTGAATAGATGGTGTAAAGTGGAGAGACCAGATGTTGGGCTTGGAGTAGCTTCCGAGTTAGGTAGAGGTCCGACATATCCTCATCATCGTCCAAGAGTTGCATAAGTTCATCTCTCACCTGGCATGAACAATTTCAACTATATCTATTAAGATACCTCCGAAATCGATATTGGGGAATCAGGCTCACTCTCACGGACAACGTATAAGAGGGCCTAAGGAGCTGCTAAGCTTGTCTTTGTTCAAGCGCAGCGACCACAAGAGAGATCTACATGGTTTTCAAATAGTCTAATTTTCTGAGATGGCAACTCGTACATAATGAATGTGAGCACGTAGGATACATGTACATGTTAGCGTGCATGGCACATAATGCAAAAGTACCAATTAATTTCATTTTCCTTCAATATTGAAATAAGAAGAGCTTGACGATACTTCAGCAAGTATGTGACGCACTCCATTTTAAGTAGGTCATTCTATTAACATAACAACCTGAAAGGCCAGAATATTAAAAATTGTTAAGACCAGGGTAAGAGGTTTAAGGCAGTCTGGACATGCAATGTTTTTGGAACTCATCATGCGATACGACAACTTGTAGATTGATATAATACGAATACAATACATATTATTAGTAAAAAAAATTCATAAAACACAACAATTATTAATACAAATTTTTTTAGCTACTTACAATATAATCTGTTTCGCCTTATTCTTATATGCTGACAATATAGGAGTTGCCTCCCAGAGAGAATGAATAGCGTAAATATATAGATGACGCCATGAGAGCAAAATCTCTTTACGCCAGCCAGTTCTCCTATGATGTGAAGGTCATCCATTATTTTCTGACAGAAAGAGTATAAAGTAGAGCACTCACCTTCTGAACACGAGCACTTAAATGAGTAAGTTGGCTCTTGACCGATCGGACAAGCTCAAGACTCCTTCTGCTAATTCTTCTCGTTAAAAGATCTAAAGCTGGACGTGCCGTCTTGTCCAAGTCACGCACGAGTTCCTCAAGGTGGTTGCAAACCACGTCAAGGGCAATTTCCAAAATTCGAAATTCAAAAGGAAGTTGTTCGAGATGACTGTCATCTGTTGTGCTCAGATGTCTTCCAGGAGACGTGTTCGGCACTGCACAATCGATCTGTAAAGTATTCTCAGGATTGAGTTGTATTCTAAGTTGGTCCACAAAAGGTTTCACATCCCGACCCAAAGGGTCGAGAAAAAAAACTTCCTCCGCTGTTATTATAGCTTTCACAAATTCTAGATTAACCACCATTGCGTTCTCCCTTGCTGCCACAATCCACAACACATGTGCATATTAAGGTCGACAGAACATCCTAGATCCTGAGAAAACATGACTTCTCTCTCTCTCTCTCTCTCTCTCTCGCTCACGCTCGCTAAGACGTTGAAATGAAAATACATGAACTCTAAATGCAAAACCTGTCTTCAACATGAAAAATCGGTTTTCATCCCATGATAAATCACATGTTGGTCATTACAGCAAGAGAGTAGACGCCAGAAGATGCTTATCAATTTTTGAGACAAGATTGCCTTGCCATCGAATGCAAAGCTGGCTACGAAACGACGATTCGTAAACTCAACGTGAGCCAAGAAAGCACCAGTTATTGCTATAATGTTGTAATATGCTGGTAGTATTCCACAGTTATTTCATCTCAATCCCAAACAGGTGTAATTGAATCCCTCAAGGCCAAATTAAGCTCACGTTTGAAGGCATCCAGACTTGATAAGAATTTACCTAGAATATGGGAAGATTTTGAAAATATGGGTCCCAATATGCGGAGATCCCGAGCAGGAACTGTAACACGTTTCAAAAGGCCGTTCCTGTCACAATCGAAGATCTCAGAGTTTCCAGATGCATCAAACTGCATCCACGTCTTAGTGCCCGCCTTCCTGTTCTTTAAGACATTAGAAGAAACAATTTGGTTTTCCGACTTCGGAGGCTGCATTGTAATTCGTTCGTAAGTGGACTTGTGAACAACCTGTCTATTTATCACTCGCTTCCCCATATTGGCTGATTGTATGATTGAAGCAACAAATGCAGAGCCGTAAAATGCTTCAGTCCAGAACGTTTCTATCGATACCTTCTTACTTGGCAATCTTAGGCTGCATCATAACAGCATTAAGATAACATAAGAAGGTAGTCCGACTGCGGATCGGCTTGTTTAGTATCTTGGCGAAACTCCTAGTAACAGTATTCTTCAACAAGTCACATGTTTCCATGACATACTGTCGTAGCGTGTCCCACTATCTGGTCATAGACAAACAAGATAGTGAACAAAGGTGGTCATTAGGATGAAAAAACAGAAACAAGCCATCGAGAACCTCCACATAACCATAGCCACAAGAATGGCATGCTCGGATGAAATGGAATAACGAATGTAATCGATGTCGAAAGAGTAAAACATACGCATTATTTGTCGACAGACTATATCCAGCGAGAAATTCTACATGTTACTACGCCACTACGCATATCTACTTCCAATTAAATTCAAAACGACTGCCGATGTAAGGTCTACAGAATGGGAAGAAGTGATAATGCAGTAGGACGCATTGTCAGCTCCCACGAGAAAAATTGTATAAAAAATAATAAAGTTTCAGAACAAAGTATCAGAAAGTTACAGAGAGAAGTTTGAATTTTTTCTGTTTATAATTATATACACGGCGAGAGAGCGAGAGAGAGAGACCTATATTGACATGACAAGCGAACTATGCCTTCAGTATGTGTTCGTAAATTTGACACAAGCGAAACCATATGAGAAGCCTAATGGTAGAGCTAAACTCTTTGGAAAAGGGCTTCTCAAACTTACTGTGCAAAGAGAGAACATGAATGCCAAGAATGATGCGAGGATTAAGGAATCATAGAAGTCCTAAGAGGATCACACCACAATTTAGAATTAAAGAAATTAAGCTTTTAGGTCACAAATCCATGCACTAATTTAACATACGATGTTCGCTTAGTGCACAATAATTGAAGTTGTGCATTAAAATAACGTCTGCTACAACATCTACTGTTCGGATAGCTCATCAAATACGTAACTAATCATCAGATTCGATTCTAGCGCATCCTATGCTCGCAATATGTGATTAAAACATCTTTACTACAATTTGCACACCCTTGCTCGAGACAAGCTACTATCTTGAATTGAATCTGGCCTAGAACGCGCTCCCATAACCTCCGGTAAAAAATGCTGGCTACAGGCCTTGCCTACTTAAAATTCTCATTCAAGACTGCTGGAGACTAAAGCCACAAAAAAACTCTGAGTACTTTACTATTTCATCCCCTTTCCCGTCAAGTACTGGTTGTCTCTCGATCATGAAGTGCACCCTCGCACAGTTCAAGAGTTCAACAACCTCCGTTGTTTCACCTTCGAAATGACGACCAGGGCTAAAACGACTGACTTGATATCACTGAGCTCCCATCGATCAACATCACGGGAATACTTCACACTGCCCTAAATCACAATCCATCACATCCTACGACCACAGACGTTTACGCAGAATTCAACAAAAACGGGAAAAAAATACAAAAAGAAAAAAAGAAAAAAAAGAAAGACAAATGCATGAGAGCAGTACAAACCTGAGTTACATTCTGAAGCCCACGGCAGCGCACGGACTCTCGCAGGAGAAGGACAGCGATCCGTTACCGGCACGCCAGGTACCGCTTCTCACCAGAGCCTGACAACTTCCGCCAACCTTGTCAACGCACATGTCCTTATTCACATTGAATACGAAACCGCGAGGGGCAACCGCTTATTCGGAGGTGACATACAAAACCTCCCCTCCGATCATCATCCTCCCCACTTCTAATCCAGCTCCCGCTTCTCATCGATGCTCACTTTCCACTTGAAACACAGTGAAACCAAATCACACCTCCCTCACTCCCTCCCTCCCTCGCTCGCTCGCTCCATCTACAATTACAAAATTATTATAGGTAATACAAACATATACATCACTAATTCTTCTTCTTCGTGGTTTTTGATAGGTCACCGCACGTAAAGCAACATTTGCAGATTTATCGGTAATAGGCGGCGCCATAGCTCGGTAATAGAGCCCGTTCGTCTGACGAACTGTAGACCCTGTGACCGTTCATGGTTGAGGGTGGAACCTTCCAAATCCTTGTGTATAATTAATTTTTTCTTAAGTTTGAATCTTTTTTGATTAATTATTCTTGATTGAAGGAGTATGTGTGTATTTTTAGTTTTCAGGTGCGATTGTTTGGTATTAGGTTTAAGATTTTGAATTCCAAATGTTTTTAGACCTTTTTCATACTAAATTTTGTTTTTTGAAAAACATTATTTTGAATAGACAAGTAAAAGTTTACTACAACTAATTTTTTTTGAAGAAATATCATTGCCAAAAGAAATTGTGCAATGATAAATAAATAACACATTAAATAATTTGAAATATATTATGTTGCTTTGTACAATTTATGGTCAATATCAAGACATTATTATCTTGTACCTCATATTCTTTTATTTGATATGAATCAAAATTTCAAATTTTAATTTATTTGAATTAAAAATACTATTAAAATTCTAATTCCAAAATTTAACAGTTTTTTTACATAAGATAAATATTGAAGTAAGTCATAAAAATAAAGGTAATAGTCAGTACCACAATAGCTTTGAAATACATTTGGCACTTCATGTTTCATTCTTAGTGAAATAGCCTTTTTGTAAAGCATGAGGTTAAAAATAATGAAAAAAGTGTTTGTTTGAATGTTGGTTTTGTTAGTGAAATTAATCTATGTACTTTATGACCATTCAAACTCCAAAAATATAAAGTACAATATCCCCATTACTAATTAAAATCAAAATTAAGAAAACTTTATAAAAAATTTATACTACTTTACAATAATAGTTATAAGAATTTTATGGTCCGCTAAGAATTTCACATTTAAACTAACTTGCATTAAACAAAACAATGCGTTTTTATAACATTATGGATAAGTAATATTATGACTTAGACTGTATTAAAAAAACTATATAATAAATTATGTAAAATATTTTTTTCTCTTAGATTTTATACATGTCCCAATATATATATATATATATATATATATATAAGGTTACACTTTAGTAATGTACAATAAGATCAATTATTCTGGTTTTAAACCCCTTAATACCAAATATGCCAAAAAATAACCTTCCAGTAACTTTTATAAACTTAACCTAATTGACACAACTCAAAGAATATTTTTATGCTCGATTTAGTGCTATAACAACTCAAGTTGCATATTTCACATACAAAATCATTCATAACTAATCAATTTCTTTTATTACATGCTATCTACTATTTCTATGTTAAAAACCCTATTCATTGTAGAGTAAAAAAAGCTTTGAAAAATGACCTAGTATCTTATAAAACTACATAATCAATACTAAGAAATTCAACCACCAAGAATCAATATTTGGACAAGGGGTTGAAGTGGACAAGTATTTGATATAAGGTTGATCCAAAATAAAATAAAAAAAAAAAAATTGATAGATTCAAAAAAAAAATATAAGTATTCTTCCTTGATTTTTTAGTCCAAAGGTGATGAAAGAAGCTTAAGAGAAGTTGCAATGCCTTGAAGCAACATAATCAATGCACAAGAAAGTTCAATTGTTGATATCATCAACAAAATACAATCTCAAACTTCATTTATAACAAGAAGCATTCTTTATCAACTTAAAAAGCTTCTACAGTTGGAATTTTTTTCTCAAAACATAGGCAAATATATTTGGGAGAATGTTAAATAGATCTAAGTTTTTAATAAATCAATCTATCTATCCTAACTTTTATAAAAAAAATAAAAATAATATCTTGATTCATTTCTCCACTATTGGATATTCTCCTATATTTAAGACTTCATTTAAAAAAAATAAAAATAAAAATAAAAAAATACTTTCAACCTTCTTGCATGTTTGTTGCCCTCAAACTTATGGGCTAAGATGGTAGACATGATGTGGCTTTGGGATTTTACTCCATACATATCCAAAGAACAACTATGAGCTTGTGCAATCACACATGGTGTTCCAAGAGGTTTTACACATTCAATTGTTACTAAGGAGTAGCTTGTTACTTTAATATATGTGATTAATAATCAAAGACACAATTGATATTTTTAGCTGGTGGGTTGGACTAAATAGGATTTAGTAATTAGATTTAGTAATAAAGATGAGAGTCATCAATATATTGTAGTTAAAAAACAAGTAATGCTAGCAACATAGATACACTGTACCAAGGTATGTAATCAATGCAGTAGGCAGTAAGTAGATGACCTGATGTAGCCATGCAGATTATGGAGTATGGCGTTGTATGCCATTATAGTCATGGAACAAGTAGCCCACGCACATGTTACCTCAAGACACATAGAAGAAGTACGACAAGTGGAGCAAAGATGACCATGTGGAGCGGACATGACGTAAAGATCAAATCAAGCTAAATTCATTGGTGCATCAACCAACTTAGGAAGATATGCAAAAATTCACCTAATTAAAGTTATGCTTAGTAAAAAACTTCCAATAGACATGTTTTGCAGTTGCACATGGTTCCTTTTGAATAAAATGGCCATAGAGGTACTTATAGATGGTACCAAAGTGTAAAAAGAGATGAAGGTCCCATTGAAGCATGTGACCATAGGATATTTTGTGGAGCAAAGATAAACTCAAAAAACCATATAAGAGTAGTTGAGCTTAGTCAAAATAAAAACCAATGAGGATCATCAAATTGGAAGAATCCTAGGACATGATTTTTTTCAAATTGAAAGCAAAGATGAGACATCCACATGAATAATTTCTAAGTGGGGCATCTATATTCTATAGCTGTGGATTCCAAGATTTAATCCTAGTAGACCAGTTGGCATGAAGATGTCAACTTGGGTCTTACTTAAAACCGTCCTTGATGAATTCTTGAGCAATGTACATGCTATTGCAAAATGCTTAGGTCCTATTTTGGATAGAAATCTCCAGAAGGACAAGAATGTCAATCAAAAATTTTGTGTGGCAATTACTGCCAATATAGCTTACAATCTATTGATTGCCATTAAAAACCCAATTAAGAGGAATATGATTAAAATACAAGTTGATTATAACAATTTTTTTATTAGTTGTCACTATTGTTTAGCCACAACACATCTCATACGAGAGTATAGAGTGTATAGCTCTGTTGGGGCATTGGAGGTGGAAACAAAGGTGCACGTGAATTCACAATACCCATCGAAAGCTCAGAGCCCGTCAAAAAATGTCAGTGCAGCAGATTTTCATAAAGGAATCCAGGCAGAAGGAAAAACCATTTGTACTCCCTCTCTCGCACTATCCCATTAGGCACTAAACATCCATGATCATGTAACAAGATCATCAGCTAGATCGGGGAGGCAAGTAACTGCATAGAGATGGAACACAGTGAGATACAGAGAATATAATGACCGGGTTGACACTATTGACTCGCGACAACAAGGTCTCGCAATGGGTCACGAGGGAACAAAACAAAGGGTGGGCCTCAGCTTCCAACAAAATCAAATCACCGAAGTTAACAAATTTGTGACAGCAAAAAATATATGGTCCAGTCGAACAGAGCAAAGGCTGCAACAATTGAAGCAACACAAAAAACATTTAAACTAGTGAGCGGGTAGAAAAAGACAGTCATGATCCTCCCCCATGACATTGGAGCGACGATCAATGGCGGAATCGCTACTTCTAGACACAAAGGGTCAATTCACTCCGTCCTTCATGACCGATTTATTACATCCCAAGGCATCTCCGCACCCAGACTGCCACATTGGATAATGCTTAACTATCATGCCTCTCCTCTCCCACGAATGCCGACCATTGTGATGAACTTATTACAGAGTGAAAGGCCCTGTGGCTCCGCCATTACTCCCAAGAGAAGTAATGGAGTCGATTAGGGGGGGACCATGCAGATAAGAAGCGAGGAAGTAGGGACTTCGGGGGACTCGCCTCTAGAAGCCCAAGTCAATGGAACCTAAGAACAACAACTCTACTCGGTTGGTTATGACAACCAGTCCGACATAGACTTCAACAGAGGAAATGCATCTCGATCAATTTCTGGATTGGCCTTAAGTGTGGCCACACTCAAGATGCTTGTGACTCCAAGAGTAATGCAATTTGCAGCCGAAAACATATTGTAATGCACGTTACACTCATAGGGGACGTCCGAAAGGAGCTCGTGTCAAGTGAACAGGGAAATTTCAGCACATCTGCTCCAGGTAATCTACGAATGGCAGAAAGGTCAAGGGATTCAGAGCGAGCTGTCGATGCCCCTGTTCCCTCCACGACTGTTCACACAAATGATGGCAAGAAGTCAATTAACAAGAGCCTCCAAATATCACCGAGCACAACGAATTCGTTGCTATCGGGGCATGGTGCAGTTCATTATGAGCAATTCGTCTCTTGAGCAACTTGATACCCTTCCTTCAGCAACACTGAGATGCGAGAAACAATTTTGTTACAAAATGTGCAGGGTCTTAAAGATCCTACAAAGGTGGACATTGTAAGAAACTATTACAATCCGTTAATTTTAGGAATAGATTTT